CTGGAATGTTAAAAATTAAATACTTTTTTTTTTTTGGGCCACCCTAGGGACCATTCATCGTACATGGATCGTGTTACAATTCAGCAACACTGTTGCGTACATAAATATGCTGTTGCATTGGTCTGCATTCGATTAGACAAAACCATAGGTTAAATTAACAATAGCAAAACAGTTGGTTTATTTTTTTGCAGTCGTTTCGAATCGAGATCGCGTGCATATTCGACAATGTAGCGACGGCGATCACAGCGAAATGCCTATGAATGGTTCAATTTTAAGTGAAGAGAAAAGAGAATAATAACCGACCCAAACCATGAACCACGTTTTATAATGTTGTTTGTCGTATTTTTTTTTTTTTCGTACACGATACAAACATCAAATTATCCTCTCGCCTATTGAACGGCATACGTACAAACAGCGACAAATATCCACAACATTTATTTTGACCGATTCAGTTTTCATTGTACCGCGTGAATGGCGGGACACATAGAAAGATTACACAGAAAGCAACGAAACCATTTAAAAAAAAATTCATCTCATACATATATAACAACGCTGATGGCAAATCAACATAGTACGTTGTATGACTGTGACGATATTAAAAGAATTTGAAGAGCAATACTTGTTGGATCGATGTATTGTCGTTGAAATTAAGTTGTTTTGAGTCGGAATTTTTCTGTTAAATTCTATTTGTTTCTTTTTAAACCAAATTTGTGTTTCACAAAAAAAAATAAAAGAAAGAGAAAAAGAAAAAGTGAAGAAATAAGCATGGTGTTCGAAATGCTATGCAATAGAAGCAGTTTTCTATTTTTCGTTATGTTGAGCTTGTGCATGCAATTGTGTTCGGTTAGTGGACATCCATATGATCCGGATGATAAAAAGATTGAAAGCGTCATCCCAAAAGATGGTACATTCGAAGCATTTTATCCACGTGAAACGGCTGGCATACCAAACGGTGCGGTACGTGCACCACATTCACATGGCAGTTTCTTCAAGTATCGACATCCAGCTTTGATTGAAACCAAAAATAGTGCAGCCTATGGTTTTCGATTCGATGGAATGCGTCGCTTCAATTTTGATTAATACAACTTTTTCTTTATTACCCAAATAGTTTCAAAATTATTTGATTTTGAGACCGAATTATTTTTTCTTGAAATAGAAATAAAGATTATTAAAGAAAGAAAAGTGATGAAAAGCTTGTGAGAAGAATAAAAAAAAAGATATGTGTTAAATTGAAGTGTTTTCCTCATCTTATTTCATTTTGTTTAATATTATTTTTTTACGTAGTCCAAATAAATAGTCAATTCACTTATATTCTTTTTTGGTTTGCAACAATGTAACGATCTAAATTAATATAAGCTTACAGAGAGAAAATCGATAAAATATAGAAACAAAACAAATAGTTTAGTGTTACACTTTGGTTTTAGGAAATTGGATCGTTGATTTGTGGTAATGATTGAGTGCAAGTTGTGCTACATTTAATTGGTGTCACCGTTGGATCGGTTTCATTTTCGCCAGACCTTCTTGAACGATAGACCTTTTCCTGTTTGGTTTTCGTAGACAAATTCTCTTGATTTCTATTGACGAGGGTGAGAGAGGAAAAAAAAGAAAGAAATAGAAAAAAAAAAAACATGTAGTTTACTTGAACCAAAAATTCGCATAGAGTCTAAACTGAATTGCTTGCTGTAATTTGATTTTAAACGTTTTTCCATTTCGCAAAGAATTGGCAATTGGTTATGTAACCGTCTCATTTTTTTTTCAATCTTGCAAAATGAAATGTGATAGATAATGAGACTGTTTATGTACCACGTTTATATCGCACGTTGGTCATGCGCGCTCTAGCATTTGTCTAAATACAGTTTGTTTTTTACTTCATACTTTTAAAATGTTAACTTCATAACAAGAAAGTGAGAGCTGTGATCAATTGTTAAATGAAAACTGGTTGTTTGTTACCTTGGTAAAACGAACGAGATATTCGGTTCAATTTCGACTTTCTTAAAATGTTCCGAGATAACTGTGCGACCGAGTTTTTTATTCTTTTCAGCATAGTTATTAAACCATTTGTAGTAATTATTATTTATGAATGTGCTGTTCAATTCATTATTTTGTGTCTCCTCAATGCTTGTATGGTTTTTTACATTTTTTGCGACATCATTTATCGTATGGGACGGTTTTTGTACGGTTTTAATGTTGCTATTATTTTGATGATTGTCGTCATGATTACGTTCGTCTTGTTTGTTTACATTTTGGTGTGTATTTTGATCGTCATGATCGGTTGATGTGGCCCAACCATGATCGATACGTTGAATTGAACTGTTGCCATCGTTAGTTGCATTTCTCATCAACGAATTACTTCGGTCCATTGTTTCGGCAAGTTGTAAATCATCGCCCAGACGAGATTCGTCATCGAATTTCGTTCGTTCATTTCGATCATAGACCGCTATTAGAAATGGATCTTTTTGTTTCATTTCATCACTTTCATAGAAATTATTATTGGTATCATTGCCCAATGATGTTAACAGCGCCTTTTTAACATCGTTAGCCAATTGCATCAATATACTGTCCTGTTCTCTGGACGCTGACGTTGGTTTTGAATGCGGAACATTTGTAGTTTGCCGACTATATGTTTGGCTCAATTGAATTGAGTCAGCCGATACACTATCGATTGCATGCAATTTCAATTTATCCACATTGTATGCATCACTTTCTTTTTTAAACAGATTTTTATCGAACGATTCGCTATTCTTGCCAAAACGATTATCATCTTGCGACACATTACGAAAACCTGTTACATTCAATTTAATGACATCATTTGTGATTTTCTCATGTGCTCGTTGTGGTTTTCGCGATGTTTTAACTTTTTTTCGTTTCGTTGGCTCGAAACTATTGTCATTCAATTGTTGCACTGTTTTCTTTTTATTTAAAGGGGACCGAGAATCTTCCGTTGAAATAAATTTGAGTGATTCGGTGCCAATGTTATTATTATTATTGTTTATATGATTTATGTTTGTCATATATTCATGTGTATAGGGTTCATTAGTGAAAACCTGTGATTTAGAATCATTGCGGTATCCATTGTTCGAAATTGGTTCATTCATCGGTTCAAAAGCGATTTGTGATTGTACACTGTTGGTGTTGGTATGCTTTTGATCTCGATGTATGGGTAAATAGGCATTTGATGGTGGTGACGTTGTTGATGAACTATGAATATACTCATTGGCCGAACCGCGATTAAATAGATCTTGAAGTTTATAATACGACTCGGTCGATGGTTCAATGTAATTAAATTCCGTTTTTGGGGCGAACGTGCGAATCGGTGCCTTTGTAATGGCTTCACTAAATTTGAACGGAATTATTTGTGGTGGTGTTGGATAAAGATAATTCGTATGCAATGGTTTTAGTTTCTCGTTCGGTTTGATAACAGTCCATGGTAATGAATTCGGTATTTGTTGGGAATTTGGTCGAGTTTCAAGATATTCATCAATGACTGGAATCACTTTTAAACGTGGCGGCACCGGTTTAAAGTCGGGTATTCGAGTTGTTGGTGGCGGTAACATTATTTGCCTTGGTACTGGTTCGAACATTTTAAAAGTTCGATATTGTGTAGGCATCGGCTCATTGGCTAATAAACGTCCACTGTATTTGGGTAATCCACCAATTTCATAGCCAACGGCATCAATTACACTCTTCGGTTTTTTATGCAAATTCGTATAATAATCATGTATAAAATGCTTTGTACCATATATTTGATCGTATAATGTTGATCGCTGGATTCCACCAAGTGATGGTATCTTTTGCATTTGCAACGGTGCCGCATTATTCAAATTCGTATCGTACACTTTTGGAATGTAATTGATCGCTGATGGATGATAATTCCAACTGAATGGACTTTGTTTGTAACGATCAGCATTCAATTTATAATATGTTTCGTATAGATTTTGATCACTTTTACGAAATTCATCGAGTCCCAATGTTTGCGCAAACGCATTTTTCAATTGATTTTTTGGCGATTGTTGCGATTGTGGCTGCGGCAAAATTTCATTCAAATTAATATGAATACTATCCGTGTCGTCTGTTGATTGGTGCATTGGTGGTGGTTTTACCAAATCTTTGTTAACCGCTTCGGCTGTTATGTATTTCATTAGATTTGGATAATAGTTTTCATTATTGTTCATATCATTCCAAAAGTGTAAATGAATACCACTATCATCTTCTTTACTATCGAAGCTAAATGTTCGAGGGCCACGATAGTCGTCCATTCCAGCATTGCTACTGGTATGTTGACCATTTTTCAGATCACTTTGATCACAATTAATACATTCGAAACTAATCACCAGCACTAACAATATCCATTTCATATTTGTTTCGACCTTCGCAAGAACTTTCTAAATAATAATATACAAATAACTGTACTTTGATCGATTTTTGTCCATACTAGCACATGTTCTCACTTGCAAATTCAATATCGCTTGCAATCTCATCACATTTGACCATTTGATTAGTTTCTGTTTCAATTTGCTATTGAAATTCTCGAAGAGATGAAAACTAAGCTCAATTTGATATCCAACCGTTTTGCTTCGCGTTACTTTTTCGAATGAAATTGTATTCTTTTGTTTTCTGCATTTTTAAACGACCGAAATATAAATAAATTCGTTTTTATTTCAGTCCACTTTACTCATTCTTTAATATGGTGTTTTCTTTTTTGAAGCGGCCGAATATTGTTCAACGAACGCACAAAAATTGTGTGTGTGATCCAATGTGATCATGTATAAATGCTACATTAACTCTCTAACCGAATTGAAGCAACAACGACGACGACGACGAAGAAGAAGAAAAACTGGTGGTGCAAGTGCCAGTTCAAAACCATTAAACATATGTTTTGCGTCCGATTTATGAATTAAGATCTCTATTTAAACAAAAGAAAGAAGATCCAAAATTATGAACCGTTTTCGTTTGACATTTTTTCCGTGTTAATTTTCACACACACAGTAAGTTGTGGCAGAATGGCCATTAACTGGAAATGAAATGAAGTTAATGTGACAATTGTGTTTGAATCGTACGAGCTCTAAACACACATGACCTATGAAGATGTGCTATTAGCCGAATTTTTCGCTTTTTTACGAGTTGTTCACCCGGTTTTTTTTTCGACACTTGGTTCGCAATTAGACACAATCATTTTATAGGTCTACGCGCGAACAATCAAACAAAACAACAGAAACGCACAAAATGAGAACTAATGCATCGCTCATAGTTCGGTTCGTTGAAGTGTGAAAAGAAATTTCGGCCTTTTAATGTTTTGTGCACTTTGAACTGAAATCGACAATAAAATAATTCGTGTTTTTTGTCGCCATTAACATTTATCAACTTTCTAGTAGTCATGCATCGAATTCAATCAAACCATTGTGCAAACCATTTCGGTGTTATTTTTGATGAACGAACGAAAAAAAATTAAGCCAAATTAAGTTAACTTTTACTTATGATTTTTAAATGAAAGTGTTACAATAAACGGAGAGATTACTGGCATCGATGGAGTTACAAAATCGAAAGCCCGAATAACTGTAGACACATGCTTTTGAAATGTTAATGCTTTCATGTAAAAGCTGTGAAACTTACTTGCGGACATTCGTTGATAGATGGCAGTTGAATGAAGCCTGAAGCCAAGATTCAATATGCTGGTCTTTACATCGATTTTACCGAGATTCTTATACATTTTTTTGTCGGTGATTTTGCTTTGAAAGTCGTCGAGACATTTTTATTTTATTAAATTGCATGAATTTGACTCTGTTAGAGTCGTCTACCATTCTTTAAAAATAGTCAATAATTTAGTTCATTTCGTATAATAATTTCTGAGAAGTAATTTTCGATATTTTCATTGGAGTTCAAATTAAATCAATTTCTGGGCATTTTTATTTGCTTCACAACAAACATTCGAATGAAAATAGAATGAAGTACAAATGCTTCCGCAATACTACGAACAATACTGATGATTGAAGTTTGTTGACGATTTGAAATAAATAAAAAGTGGTACACCCAAACCGTCATACATAGCGAACGTGCAACTGTATGTTTAATTTTCGAAGTAGCAAAGCAATGGAAATAGTTATAGTCCTTTATTCTCTTGTTCAACGATTACTTGTGTTTGTAACAATGTACTGAGGCAATAATTGAACTGTGTGTGCAAAAATAGCCAAAAGGCAGTAGTCGACAGAGAGTGTACAAAATGTTCTCTCTGTACAGCATTGGAACAGAACATACACACACACACACACACACAAGCATCGGTTAAATACCACGCCTTCAAGATACACACCTTTCTATCCCTCCCTTTGGAATTTCTGCTTCGTTTCATTTCGATTGATGCGATTCGATTTGTTTTCTTTTTTACTTGAGCAATTCATCTGTCTGTACTGTACAGACTCATCTCGAGTATATACACTCAGTTACTTCCAATCTTTGTTCGTTCGTTCGTTCGTACATGTTTGCCGACATTTAAACGATTGATCAAATTAAAAAGGTACTACTGCTTTATTGATCTTTATGGCTTGAAAACTTAAGTTATCTCAAGTATCGATTTATTTTATTCACTACCACTTCACGGGCCAACGGTACACATTTTGAAATTCGACCGATATTAAAACTATTAAATTACTCTAACCCAAAGAAATATTCAGGAATCTTTATTAAGTGGCACTGTTTTTTTTTTTTTTTTTTTGCTGTGTCAAATCAATATTTTAATCATTTAATTTTTAAAAAATGAACAAATGCAAAAAATAAATCAAAACAATTTTGATTTCTGTCATTTTTTTATTTCGATCAATAAATTCTAACCCAAACCATTTGTCGTTGCCGCAAGCATAATTTAGACTTTTCTGATGATATTCGGATATGATGATATACAACATTCATAAAAAATACGTACATGTCCGATGCAGCTGATGTCAGTAGCAGTTTAAAATCTGTGATTTGAAGCCAAAAATTGTCTAATCCCTTTACAATTTTTCGTGATATTTCAAATTACCATTTATAGTCTATTCAGGTTAATTTACCGTTGCTTTATAACTTCAGATTAGCCACATAACATTTGGAAGTTTTGAATAAATCCTATTGGAGAAAAAAATTGATGTTGGGATAAATTCACAAAAAAATCAATGATAAGAATGTGTTTTGATCTAAAAAAAAAAGAAATCACATAAAATATCAAGTACTAACTACTTGAACGCGCACTTGATTTCATTTGTCAACCAAAACAAAATCGCATGTTCATGTTGAATGAAATGTTGTTCATATAACAATCGGGAAATTAAAGTAAATTAGCAGACTATGTTTAGTATCTAAATATACCACAATTGAACATTGCAAACATTTGAATGCGATGACAATGACTGTATTTCAAATTGTTAATATCAAAAACGTGTTCATTTTATCCCCAAACAATAGTATTCCGTTGAATTTGCTGTTTTCGTTGTCATCGCGACTTTTTTCCTATTCGATGGTGTATGCCATTTGACAGACTTTACTTTTTGTACTGTATTTTTGACGAGCCCATTTGTTTACTTTCCTATAGCCAACATATTCAGTGGACCAATCTTCTTTTTTTTTGTATTTGAGTCGCACCCTCACGATTATCTACATCAAAATCATGAAATGAGACGAGAACAACTTTCAATTTATCAGAAAATTATTTAAATTAAACCGCACAATGTTTTCCACTCTTTTTGCTTCTTTTTAATCGACCCATCAGACAAACACACACACACACACACATGCACCAAAATATTCACAAAGTGTACAGCTCATCGATGTGCGTGTGCGCGCTACGTTGGTTTGCTCGCTCGCGCCTAGTCTAATAACGGTCTGATGATGTCGTTGCGCGATGCGAGGGATTGTTTCTTGTTTTTGTTGTTGTATGACATACGGTGTGTGTGTGTGGATGAGAGTATGTGTGTTTTCACTACGATCCGAAGAGTAAATACGACTTGCATAGATGCCTGCCTGTATTTTGGGTTGACTGAATTATATATATATATATATATTTGTGTACGCGCGCTCAATCCTCTTGCTGTGGAGTGTGTTATTAAGTGGAAGTCGAGAGCGATGGTTTAGTCAATGAAAAAACGATTTGAAAAATTGAATGACACTAAATTTGAAGAGGGTGCACGATCAAAGACCATGAAAATGATATTCATATTAAATCTTTATTCAAAACACAACGGGATGAAAATGAGAGGGATTTGGTGATGTGCGTGATGCTCTCTTTCTCTATGTTCCGATGATAGAACTAGTTGATGATACGATTGTGACTTGTGTTGCAAAAGTAAACAAAACACTTGAATTGTGTACACGGTTCCAAATGGAGTAACATAAAATGACACGACCCAAATGGTAGTGTTTGTGTTGATGATGACCTCAACTATCAGCGCACAATCTTAAATGCTGGCAAATGAGTAGTCCTTTGGGTAACATTTTCCGGAAACATGATATAAACTAATGAACTTTTCTATTTTTATCTTTCTCTTTTTATACTATTACACCGAAATGGGCCACGCCGATTATCGTATGCAAATACAAAAAGAATATTTGCATATCATATGTTTTGGGAAGTTGCTGGTCGTTTGACTAGAAAAGAAAAACTAGATTTGCCATTCGATGCGACCAATTTAGAATATTTATCATATTTTGTTGTAATAAGCCATTTGTGATTGAGGCGTACGCTCTTATATTACACTCTTCAGAGATAAACACACCAAACAATATCCACTTTGAATAAAATATATGAACATCAATGATGATGGTTTTAAGATTAGAGCGCACAATTCATACGGATCAATTTGCGGAAACAAAACACGCGTTTCATAATTGCATTGGTGTCAAATGGAAAAAAATTATCTCACCGATTATTATTAATAGCTTCATTTTAACCGATAAAGTATGTAGTCCGTAAATGAAAAAAAATAATACTTTAAACAGATTCAATGCTCGCATATCGGTTGCTTGTTGACGTGACAAATCAACATAACAAGCCGGTAACACAATTTTCCTTGAAGAGTTTATAAATGATTGATATTTCACCTGAACCACTTCGAATAAGTAAAGTTACAAGCAAACAAATTGGTTTTTGACCACACTTTACACATTTAAAGAGAAAAATGCCGAATGAAAGAACGGAAGTTTTCAAGTATTGAAGGTAAATTGAAAATTACATGGTCATTAAACACCCTCCAAGTTGAGAACATATCAATGAAGGGGGAAGTGAATATTTTTCACAGTTCCGAACGACATGCAATGACTTACTTTATTAAGTACTCTATTTTACCGTATATTTCATTTAAATATGGTCATATAATTTTTGTGCAGTATATACATCTCTTTTTGTTAATATAACCACCAAATGTCACCACAATCAATGCACAAAAAACTACATATTTAAAAAAAAAGCAACGCTCATACATAAATTGAGTGCAAACACATGTGCCATGGCAAATCAAAATGCTGGAAAAAAGTGTGTGAGCTATGTAATTTGTCGGCAAGTGTAGACTGTTAAAAACTATAACA